GATTTCGCCTGGCAAGCATTCTCCCTATAAAAATCCACATGTATCCGTTTAACAACACTGTGACGTGGCGGATGTGACTCGCCACTAAATAAAGTAAATGTCTCTTCCCTCTTCCGGAGGATCATTCACACATCACGGACGTCATCTGATTCAAAGCGTTCCATTGACTTCCCCTTTGATGGCGAACACAACGAACAAAAGCACACACAGTCACATTTATCTACTCACACATGTCCCCTTCCAAATACACAGTTAAACATAGTTTTACATCTCAACACACATAAATTCCCATGCTATTGGTCAAAATGTACTAATTTGTGCAATTGCTGATCATACATGTCTGTAATACCATGATCACGCCCTTGATGGTGTGCCTCGCAGTGACGAGAATAAACTATTTATTTATTTATTTATTTACTGAGCAAACACCCTTCTACCTGTTTTATCAAAAGGGATGCAATCGGTAACCGCAGATGAACGGACACGATATTTTAAAAGTCCGTAAATAATTCCCAATGTCCAGCATACATTCAGACACGGACGATCTTGTCTCAGCAACCTGCTGCTCGCTCGGTATTTATGGACCAGGACAGGTTATGGAGGAGCCACCACAAATGCGGTTTACTCAGGCTTTTCTATAGCATTCAAAAACGGTATCAACGGTTCCCTGCTCACCTGGTTGGAAGATAAGGTACAAGACAGAAGCATTAAGGTATGAATAGCCTACATGCATTCCTCAAGCCTGTGTGTCTCCAGGGGCGTTCCGCGAGGATCCGCCGTCGACCCGCCACGGTTGTTGGTCCGCATCAGTGAGTTCCCAGCAAACATTCGATCCCGATGCAAATATTTGCAAATGAGGAAATGATATGGAGAGCAATTCGCTTAACATCCGAGAGTGCCTATCACCAAAACGATCAGGCTCGGATCAACGAATGCGCAGAAATGAACCACGTCACACTGAAACCTGCAAAGTGCCACCTGCTGACGGTGCGCAGCGATTCATCAACAAATATTTTGGGGCATGATGTTTTGCAATGCTTGACTAGTGAACGAGACTTAGGTCTAATCGTAAAATAAACTCGTCGCAATTGGCTTCAATCTTCAAAAGAAGTGACTGTGGCAAACATGAACTTGGAGCTTTTGAGGCTAGATCTCGGCACTTTGGAGCGACGAATAATATCACGGTTGATTAACTCATATACCCGTTCCCATGTTGAATATGGGCCTCAGGCCTATCGTCCATGCTTAAGAGGAGACATACGTCTCTTGGAGCATACCCAAAGAAGAGCCTCCAAGACAAAACGTTGACTATTCGGCCTCATTTACGAACTGCGCCTTCGTTTACTTAGTGTGCTTTACTTAGAAGGGCAACGGCTTCGCAGAGATCTCATGCTCGCATACCGGATACCAACAGAACGATCACCCTGCTGATCCTAACTCACTACAGACAACGCCGATGCAAGCACGTGAAACTTGTAATGAAACACACCTGTTGGAATTGTAGAAAGTATTTGTACTCACTAAGAATCTGTTCCCACAGGAATGCACTGCCAACTCTGTGGTGAAGGCAGTAAACATCACGTCATTCGAAAGACTATTAGACTTGCAACTAAGGGAAGTACGATACACTACCGTGTGACAAAACGCAATGTCTAAACTACTGAGCAATACTATTTTAATTTTGTTTGCATTTGACATCCCGTGTGTCTTATAAATCTTTTGATGTTTTTCCCCCTATACACTAATGAACTGTTGGACATAGGAATTCAGGCAACAGTAGTAGTAGTAGCTTTCTGGCCTGACGGGAAATAGCCTAGCTGCGACAAAAGGAAATTTTGTCTGGTTATAGAGCGTGAAACTAAATGAAGTAAATTTGAAATAGAAATCAAAGACGAATGATAAGCAAGGCAGGGTATGTACGCCGATGCTTCTATTGCTCCACGCCTTCTTCCAGTTGGCAAACCAAAGGACACCTACCAACAAGTCTTGTGAGGCACGTCACCACCCATCATAGTCAGATCCTCCGGGGTCTGCGCTTCCAGCTGATTAGCATTAAACATCTTCCGTACCGTCTCTTTTACCTTGGACGTCAGGATGCTCTTAAGGACTTCTAAATGCAGATGGGAGTATTAGCCTACTGATTGTGTGTACATTGAACTTAGCGTGGGTTATAACCATACTTAGTTGGTTACCATTCGGTTGAAAATATGAAGTAATTTGTCTGCATCCGATTACTTAAATAATATGGGAATTTTTCGCATACTTAGAATACTGCAGTATCATACAAAAATGAAAGCTGGGTTTGGTGGCAAGCATGGTTATGAAATGAAGAACGCGGTCCTTTGGTGAAATCGAGCAAGTAATTTGCACCAAACTTATCACATCTCTACGTAAGTTCTCATCGTTGCTTGGATGCTTCGTGGCTCGACATGACCCGCAGTCGTAATCCGATGACATTTCCTCCATATGGATTTACCGGCGATACTTGAACAATGGAAACATCCAAGTCAAAGTGGCATCCTGACAGCCAAAAATAGTTGCAAACGAATGCATTCTTAAGGCTTGCACTTGTAGTGAGCCGCAACACGTTACTTTGCTGTGACTCGCTTGTCAGTTGTTAGAGAGAGAGCGAGAGAGAGAGAGGGTAATCTGTGCTGCTTTGCATTAATAGCCTTATTAAGTGAATGAAGTCACGCATTTTCCGTGGGTATAGTGATCAAGCGCATTAACTCACACTCCTTTTTATATATAGTATGAAGGAGTTATATAAACACAACAGATATACAGTTAACCATGGACACTTATCAGGGGGTGGTGACGAAGGTTGATCGGTGTCGTTCAAGTCGACCTTCACTGATTAGTGGTGACCAGTGAAAGTTCAATTAGCAAGAAATAACTTTTCTCAGGACATATGTCGTTGGAAGAATTGCTGTCAGTGTGCGGTGCTATAATGAAAATGGAACGAAAATTCGTCGTCATGACAGAAAAGAAAATGGTAAAGATTGACAGGATTTTTCAGTCTAATCTGAAACTGAAGTAACTTTTAAACCTAAAAAAGCTTCCAGTGGATGCGTTGGTTGGAGTAAGATTTGGATTATGGTTTTCAGGAGCACATACTGCATCTGTGAATCTCTGTTCGAGTCGAACTGACAGCTGTCCATACGCATGACGTGAAGGCCGTGAAGAAATTTCACAACTGACGCACCGTATTACACAGCAAGGTAGTAAGAGTAAACAATAATGAATGGCTGAACGTGTGCATTACAGCGATCGATGAGGCCCATTAGTTCACCTGGCGAAGTGCATAGTTTATTTGCGAGTGCAGAGAGGGAGTAGAAAGCACATTATTGGTGCAACCTGAGACTGACGGTAATCCGACGGACCACCGTTTTCTGCGCCATGCGTGCACACCGATGGCGAAAGGATCACGCCACCAAACGGTGCCTGTGTGAATTTCATGCTCTGTTCTGCAGTAAACTCCGATCGATAAGTGTTGATGATGCCTTACCTTCATCTCTGCAATGGATGCTATCAAGCGGGCATTACAAACATTGGCGTTATGCGCCAAACGAAACCTGGAACCAACAATATGAGTATTTTATAAATCCAGCAATGGTTATGGGTCTGGGCCGCTTGGCAATCCCTTGCGTCCAGGTATCGGGCAAGCCAGAATAAAGCAGGATAAAAAAGGCATCAGCAATGCGCCGGTACGCAGTACCGAGGTTTCGCTGCTGCGCAACCAGCACAAGTTGCACATTGACTAAGGATACTGCGAGGGTCGCCCGGTCAGTATGCTGGCTGGAACCCGAGCCCCCTGGTTACAAGGCAGTCTTGAGATCCTCAAGGATACGGACGGGGCAAAAACGCTAAATGAGTTCGGATAGCAGATATAGTTGAAGCTTACCTAGTGATAGCTTAACAACCCTGAAGCACTATATGTCTGGGCAGCACGAGTTAACTTCACATTGCTCTAAAAAGGTTTATGGAAAGCTGTTTGTCATTTGTTGTGTTGTTAATAGTGTACCATTGTGGTCTGAAATGAAGAAATCGGTTTTCATTTGTTCACATGCTTTCAATCTGTGGTGTGTGCGTGGTCAACGACGGCAACCACAACCGAAAGTACGTGCTCAGTAGAAGGAACAGTATTCCTCCGGCTAGGAAGCGCTATCATTATTTGTTCGGCTTCAGAGGCTGTATGTGGGTTGAAAGCACTAAGTGAGTGAACAATCGTTTTGACGGATCACTTACTGCTGTTAGTAATTGTGGTAGTAGTCGATCCAGTGTATCTGTGCAATACAATATGTACCGGTTGATCGAACTTGATATTCATCGATTATCGTACCATCGAGTGCTTATGTGACATTGGCTATGATTACATCATTGGTAGATGTCTACCTTGATGCTTGAGGTTGCACGGTAAGTTCCATCTACGGTTGGTTTGAAACATTCCGGCTTTCCACTATGTGATGCAATCATGGTGAACAGGCTTTGTGGCAAGTGTAATTTAAGTACACCACAGCAGAGACACTCTACTCAACGCATTTTTATGCGTCTCCAAATGCTATTTACACTGGTTGAAATGTTTACCAGGCGTTCAATGCAATGCGTACACAACACCCACCGCAATATGCAGGAAGCTTGGTAATGAACTCGACTTGTGTGCTGCGAAAGATGATTGACTGACCACTACTGTCGAGCCACCTGCAACCGCGAGTATTGCTTTATTTCGTGCAACGGTGACACAATCAGACAAGTGCATACACCGTTTGCAGCATTGGCTAATCGAACAATGGCAAATTCGCAAAGACCAAGAAACTATTAGCCATCGAATGAGGCTCGTGTGATATCATACTGAATTGCAAGAAGAAACAAACGATGAAGTTTGACTGGTGTGCACTTGGGTGGCGCTAGTTCCGCCAGCAGGAAGATATGCAGCCTGTATTGATCAAGTAATCACGCGGGTGGTGGGTACTGAACTTTGCGCGAATAAGGGATCCGTGTGATAAAAACATGCGTTTTCTTCCGAACAGCATAGGTACAGCGCAAATTACCAAGTCAGTAATATAGCAGATGAGCATGCACAATGTAAATACGAAATAATTATTCATGACAATAGACCTTATTTTCGTTTGGTAACCCAAATTTGTGGGTTATAAATGGGGGCTGGCATTGTCAAAAATTTTACGATTCTGTGAAGCAGAAAGGGGCTGCACTTAAAGTATCCAAGCTTCTGACGAAAAACAAATCACTGCTATAAGTGGAAAAAATAAGAGAGGAACTAACAAGGTGATTAAAAACGTTGAAGTAAGCCGAGTTCAACAATGCGGATCTTTAAATATAGTACAAATCATTATGTTTGGCAATGTGCATCGAAGCGGCCAAGAAGCATAATTACCCGTTAAACAACTCTGCAGAAGATTGAAGTATATAGATGAAAAAGGAAGAAATACGTGCTCAGACTAGAGCTATTGGTCAACGAACATCCGACGGGGGTTTGTAGACTGTGTAGATGAAAGAGGTCCAATGTATTTCGAGATCGATAGGATTTGTAGGTAGTAAAAGGTGCAAGAACGTGTTGCAACAAGCCAAATGAAACAAATAGAGAAATAAAACATAGATGTGTCCAGTGAAAAAGCAGATAGACACTCGTGAAATGAATTATTCTGAAAGGGTTTGTCTTTATACGTAAATCCTTTAGATATATGGAGAAGATTTCTCCTTGACAACTTTGAAACTGTCAGGCATTGTAGCAAGGAGTTTGAAATTTCGAAACAGGCTGGTAGACTAAGCCAGGAGAATAGCTTGCGTCATTGAAGGGGTTAAAAGTGAAATCGAGGGTGCAGTTGTGTTTACGGTTGCACACAAGCATTGCTTTGCCTTCTCAGTGTTCTATGCAAACCTGCAGTTCAAATTCTTGCAGCATAGCAAATACTCACAAATGGAAAACAGTTCAAGTTGTCAGGTACAAAGAATGCATTCAAAAATATTCCAACAGTGGACAGATAGTGCACTCTGAAGATGAGACACAAGTCATGTAAAACAAGGTGTGTAAGTCAAAAATGAAAGCCACTATAAACGACGAGAGCGGAGTCTGGGTCATGTGGTCACAGTAGGTCAGTGGAAGTTAGTTGGAGTGAAACTTAGAGAGAAAAAAGAAACTATGATGAACTTGAAAGAGAATATGTTGACTTTCTTGATGGAACTCGAAGAAGAGATTTAGGTGAGTCGTATGATATTAGAACTTTGAGTAGCCATAAAAGGGCACTATAAAATTGGAAGTGATACACCCGATGGGTTCAGTTCTACTGGATTATATATGTGTAGGAAAAGGAACAGATGAAAGACATATGCAGAGATAAGTTGGTCATGCGCAAGTACGTAAAAGGTGACTAAATGGAAAGATTTCAATTCCCTGTAGTTCATTGTTAGAGTTCCGCATAGGCAGTATTTGCGCGTGGTGATAGTCTGTTGCAAGGAGTTGCACGTTTACCGTCTCACTGATAGGCTTCAATGTCGAAAAGCGTATAATCTTGTGAGCAGCCAGCGTGGATAAAAACAGTAAATCAATTAAAAAGGGGAGTAGCAAGATAATTCGTGTTGCTACTCTGATCACCCTTCCTACTGCGAAAATGCTTCCGGATTTTGTTGACGTGTTTATTGATCCATTATCTGCACCATCGAAAAGTCGCCGTGTCCAGGAAGCCCACGATCAGGTGCTCAGATCCGAAATGTCGATGTTGTCGAACATGGTTAATGGGGCATTTCCAATCTCCTGAAAAGAAAAAGCAATAACACAATACGAATTTTCATTGATGGGGGTGAACGGTTTGGTAGAGGGCACAAGAACAAATGTGTTCTATTTCATGATATCCGTTTACCATCGATGTCATACCATATTGTTAAGGGCCTCTATGAAGTCGCTCCACCTTTTCTCCACACTATGTTTGGAGCGAAATAGACGATGGTGAGAGGATGACAGGCAGATACCTCATATGCCTGAATAAGAGAGATCCGGTCCGATCAATGCTCTGCCAACGCCTTTACACCTGATAGTTAACTGCGTCTAAAAAGTTTATCTACTACAAGCGTTTTAAACGGGTTCAGCTTACTTTCCTAGAAAAAGTACAGAAATCCACAGGCGAAGGTCACTCTCCTTGATGTCCCAGTGGGATACATTTAACTGAATACACTGCATGTTATGTTTACTTTGCTCGAGTACACTACATACAGAGGTTTAACGGAGGAAATGACTAAGTCTTCCCTAACTGAAGTGAACAGAGGAGATATACGTTGTATCTACTCGATTAGTGAAACCAAGATTAACGGAAAATTGCACTCATTTCATAGCGTTATAGTCAACGTTTGCAGCTGCCAGACTAGTAGGAGTGCCTCCGATCGGCTACGTGATATTTTAGTTGCGGCGTAGACATTTGGACTTGGTAGTCAGAGTGAACTGTAACTGCACAGCTTAAACCAAAGCGCTGCAATGTAAACTTGTAAACAACTGAAATTTACATTGTGCCAGAGTTCAATGTTTTCTTCCTTAATCCGGATTTCAGATTTATCTTGAGTGGCATATTGGTGCATTAGATAAGGATACTGACAGATCCGAACAAATAGAAATGAGTAAACTGGACTGCCAAAAGCTCTGCATTTGGCAAGATGAACAACCTGGGTAAAGAAGCTGAACAGCATGTGCAAATTGAAAAATATTCTGCCAGAAGGCAAATGCATAAAAGAGCGTGAGCTAGCGGATTCAAGCGGGTGCGTTCCATGGGTGGCTATCGCTTAACTTGTTCTTGTTTGTGTGCGAAATAACTGCTGCTGGTTCCAGCCTGCCTTAATGACTTTTCCAGTCACCCGCACTGAGCTTTTCTAGGGGCGGAATTTGTTTCCCTAGTAAAAGTAGCTAGTTCCACTTTATCAACCTAGAAATTTATGATTAAAAACGCCTCACTCGTTGCAGCAAGAAATGAAGCCATAACTGAGGTATATGGTTGGCGGCATCCGGTTTCCGATTCGTCTGTCACTGTGGCCAGCCGCAGGAATCTTGCGCCTACAGAGGGACCATGGGTGGCTTGCGCTGCACCACTCTCAGTTCCAGCCACACACCCCATATCCATTGTAAACCCGAAGGAATAAGTCGGTGAGGCTTATGGATGGGAGCCACGTTTCATCAACGGAGCCGGCCCACACTCCTTTCTGACTCATGCGGATTGAGTCAGTGAACTGACCATCCACTAGCCCCTTTGCCTTTCGGGTGTACATTTAATCGAAGGCTTTGGCTGAGGACCCGAGACGTTCTCCTGTCTGGTGTGGGCGCCCTGCCAGTATCCTAATCCATCGTCTTCGGAGGTTACGAAGTGGTCGATCGCCCTCTTCCCTTAAAACCTAGCCAGGGGAAAGACATGTGCGCGGGTTAAAAGCTCACCACTCGATTGGTGAAGAACCAGTGCGGCACGCATTGTCCCTGATGGTGGGAGGGCACCACCGGTTGCTCAATGATTTGCTACTACCCGCCTCAAGCCAGGCAAACCAGCCAAAACCCTCCTGCGTCTGACCGGGGTCCTAGGTGCGCATCTCACTAAGGTCGCAAATCCTATATGAATTGTTCCGGAACCTCAAATCTGGCATGCAACGGCCGGCAAGCAGGTCCCAATCTGTCTCTGCAATAACATTCCCGAGCTGGATCTGCTCCCCACTGCCTTGTGCGTCAGGCTATTTAGTCGAAGGTTCCGGGCTGAGTCCCTCAAGCAAACTTCCGAAGCACAACAGCCACCTCGGTTGCAATTACCCACCAATGCAATCGTATGCCTGCGCGCAAAGCACTCAACATCGGGTGCTGGAAAGTGCGCACAATACTGGACCGGAACTCTAGTGAACGTCCTGGGCGACGTATTGCACTGGCCGCAATGGAACTGGCGTAATACAATATCGATATTAGGGATCTCAAGGAAACCTGGTTTTTTTTGAGGAAAGTAACTTGCTCGAAGCTGGTGATGGTTATACGTTCTATTAGGTGGGAAACGCCACCACAACGGCACCTGAACATGGGGTCGAATACTTAATATCCGATCATTTAACTGGCTAGCTAGTGGGTGAACCGACCAGCAGCAGCGCTCCACTGATGACTACGGATACGGAAAAGGCAAGTTTGCCATGTTGTAAGCACGTACGGTCCGACCTTGTGTTGTCCTGTTGACACGCGTGGTCAACCCTACACTCAGTGATCCTCCGTGATACGATCTGTGCCGAGGAGCGACCAAATATCTCCGCTGGGTGATTTCAACGCGCGTTCGGCGTGGACAGACGTCATCGGTCCGCATGGGATTGGTTAAGCGGATGCGAATGTTGACCGACTGTTCTCACCGTGTGCCCCTCACGACCTAACGATCACACACACTGTTTCCAAAGTGTGAGTGATAGTCAGGTGGAAGCACACACGGAATGGTCACGCTCACCCGCTCGATGACTTCGTCGTACCACATCATGACACGTAAATTGCGCATGATGAGTGTACTGTGCGGAGGTGAGTGTGGCACTGATACCAAATTGGTGCGACTGTAACTATATTTTCGTGAATCTATGTATTGCACTCCTGCCGTGAACCGGCATAAATATACCATTCTGTCCCTCGGTACTGCGGCGAAACGTATGGAGCTGGAGTAGATGATGGCTGCACTCCTATGTGATGTGGAATGCTTAGTCACAGTGGGTGACTTGTGGTACCACACTCGCAAACATGTGGCAGCTGCCGCCGAGGAGACCATCGGGCGCGGCAACTGGAAGCGGCCCGTTTGGTTTGATGAGAACAATGTGACGATGGGCGCATTGGTTTCTGAGAAGAATGCAGCCTTTGCTGCAAATGTGGCAGACCCCAGTGATTTGGGGAAGAATAGTCCGTTTCCCATACTTTGACGGCGACTGACCCGAGTGCTCTGTCGGAGTTAAAATGCACGTTAGCAAGAGAAGGCGAAGCAGTTGGAATGATACGCCGAACGCTGCCAACGCAAGGAATTCTTTGACTGCTTAATGGCGGTGTATTCACCTAGGAGCCGCTAAGGACGTGGCCCAATGGTAGCTCAAGCGCTACCTGCACACACACTGCAGACATAATGCCGATCTGGCGAAATCACTTCGATCGTCTGTTGATCCACCGTTCCGAGATGGACCGGCCTAAGTTGTGCGGCCTGAAGCAGCACGAGGTGATGTTGAGTTTGGCGGACAAGCCGGCGCTGGATGAGACGCAGAGAGCAATTGTTCAGCTGCGAAACCTCAAGTCTGCTGGTGCCGACGGGGTCCTGGCTGAGGTATTGAAACATGGCGGACTCGCGTTAGTGACTGCGCTGCACCACTGAGTGCAACGCTTGTCGATTGAGAAAATGGTGCTTCCTGAGCTGAAGGATCCTTTTGTGCTACCACTGGACAAAAGCAAAGAGAGCAAGCAATGTAGCACGAATTCTCGTAGCATCAACCTGATGAATTGTGTCTGAAAATTGAACAAACAAAACGCTGCTCAAATGCCTCGTCAATCAGGTCGTTGAACCGAATGTGACGGAAGAGAAATACCGATTCCGTTCGGGCAGCAGCCCTGTAAATATGGTGTTCGCAGCTGGTCATTTGGAGAAGAAATGCCGAAAGTGACATCAGCCATTATACTCGCTGTTTGCTGAATTCACCAAGGTATTTAACACGATGAACCGCGAGGCAGTGTGACTGGAATGGGGTAAATTGGGTTTACCAGGTAAGTTTCTATGTCTAAAAGAATGTCTGCACAGTGGTAATGGGGCGAAGGTGCGGCAGATTGGATAGACCACGGATGACTTTGCTGTGGTCTCTGGTGTGAACTAAGGATGTGTCCCAGTCTCTGCCCAGTTTAAGGTTCACATAAATGCAATGACGTCTTGTACATTTGGTGCTTCTGGTGATTACGGTGTCCACGTGCAACCAAATTGGGTTGCTGAACATCTGTCGTTTCGGGCCGAGAACTATCATGTATGAGACAATCCTTCTTACGTTACTGTTTCAGATGACCGTGCGTTGTTTGCTCCCGGCGCGATGAGTTGCAGTGTATGATTACGGCTCTCGCCTCGACAGCGGCCAATGTCAGACTCACCTTCACCACAAGCAAGACGGTTTTTTGATAATGGGTGTTGCTTGCCGGAATGCACTACACTTCATGACGTATCGTGGAGAGTTCACGCGGAGGACACCATGTATCTACCTGCTTTAACACCTACGGTCCAATTGTCGGAATTGGCAACAGAGAATTTCAACGGAAATCGCTGTTTACCATGTTATTACGCATCGAGATCCATTCCCACAGCGAGTACTTCTGACTGACTCTCCAAGTAAAGTACTTTGATAACAAGCTTTCCTCAATAATGGGATCCGTGGGTCAGATGCATCCAGATTAGTGATGTCGTTTTGGAGGCCACATGGATATTTTGCTTTCTTGAGGGTGTAATATGCACCCACAAACAGATGACGAGCGCACGACTCATCTGCATATCTAAGACTGTTGCTGAAGTTAGCATGCTAGGAAATCGAATGTAGAACTGGTATCAGCTGACTCATCGGACGAAGCTGTCAGTGCTTATTTATGGCACCAAAACGTGGACAGTGTGTTGGAAGGAAATCCGATATGTGGAGTGTTTACATCAATAGTGTCTGAGTCGGATGCTGTGTATCGGTTGGTGTGACAGAGTTGCAGACAAGGAAGTGTTGCACCGGAGTGATATGTATGCAGCGAATGCATACTTCTGCTAAGGA